ATATAATGCTAAAAGCATTACGCCCGCCTATTGTACAATTGAATAAAGTTTAAATAAATCAATAAAAATTGTGTTATTATATTGTGTATATAATAGCAATACATATTCCATTAGGATAATGTATAAGTGTAAACTTATACATCATCATGAAATATAATATATATTCCACTTCATAAAATAGTAATATGTATTCCATTAGATGATACATTGTATTATAGTTAATTAACCACCATATAGTGGCTGTTGTGGTTAGTAGACCACTCGGCCATGATTCTATCTCAATAAACTAATTTACTAATGTATATTATCTTTATTATCTGTATGATACATGTAATAAAATCTTTATCTCTTTGTCTGTTCATATGTCTATTACTACATAGAAAGTTTTTCACAATATAGTTGTTTATTGTAATAAGTTTCTCGAAATACGCACGGTGGAAGACAGCCATTCATTCAGGTGATCAGGATGATATTTTAGTTTCTGACGGATAGTGTGATAGTGAAATTCAGCAACCGTTATTAATCCCAACATCTCCCCAGAATACTCTCCATAGAAGATCTACAGCATATTTTTAAGTAAAACATGTCTGTGCAATGGAGAAACTACATACATGTACCAATGTTATTGTGTTTACAATATAGAACGGTATAATATGATACAACAAGAGTACTAAAATCAAACGGATGCCAACATCCGTCATTAACGTGTAGCAGTGTCCGTGACAACTGGAGCGCTACCAGATTAGTTACACCATGAATAAGCCGTTAACAATCGTTTGAAAACCTTTTTGTATGCTTACCAACATTGTAATACTATAGAAGTAATATTTCCATGAAATACCATGAATATTTTATATAATAAACGTTCAGGGTGTTTTGAAAAAAATATTTCTTGTAGTATCCAACATTATATCCAATTCGGACGTACAAAATGTAATTTAAATATAAAATTATTATTCATTGTATAAGTTGTTCCTCTATTGATACTTAACCATTCATTGGCATTTTGTATTATAAGAATGAAAGCAATTTCATTTGAAAAAACCCTCTGTTTTCCACTACAGAAGCACAAGACTGTAATACATCTCGAGGCGATTAATATAAATTCATTACGTATATTAAATTACTGATATTATTACAATTATATTATGAAATTGATTTATGTTTATACTCCATTAACCTAGTCGATATGTCATATTAATAATATATTATGGATCATTAAAACCGATAAAGTAAATAAATAAAACAAAACTCGTTCAATGATATTTAATTATGTATCAATATTTTCAGTTATATGTAATAAAATAATACTATATTAATAGTATTATTCTATTATATACAATATGTATATATAATAGAATAATACTTAATCGTTATTTTTTTGCAGAACAAGATAATTCAGTGAAATTCTTTTTAGTTTATTGAAAGTGATAATGAAAATCTGGTGATAGTGTAGATGCATTTTAGGTTTTGTTCAATGGTAGTACCTACCGACTTTTAAACCGTAACATTTATTTGCTTAGCGTAAAAATGTGCATACCGTTTTACAATAAAAACAGATGTAAATACATAACCTCCAGGTAATCATTTTTTAAGACAATGTGCAACCATTTTTTTAAAATAACATTCCTATATTTTCCGGTGATAGTATAGCTTCATTTTAGGTTCTGTTCAAAAAGGCATGGCAGTACCAAATTTTAAACCATATGTTTATTTGCTCAGTGTAAATACCGTTTTACAATAAAGACAGATGTAATTAAATACATGACCTGATTCCCTGTATTAATAAATCCATGACTTGTTTACGCAAGTGCTGATGTTTGCATCTTGTTCGATTATATCTTATTCAATTATGAATTTCAATTAATCTCAGATGATTTATGTAAACAAACAGACAAGCATAACTACAATAGCATCGTTTAATGTTAGACTCTAACAATATATATTGAAATCTATATTAATTTATAAACATTGGTATATATAATTATGTATATGTACTGATGAAACACTATTAAAGCGCTAATAAAAATATGTTTATGTAGTTCGAAATTAAACATTTCTTATAAAACTAATATTGAAGAGAAAAATAGTGTAAATTGATTAAAATTTTATTAGATTCTTTTCGAGAGGTAATAAATAGACATACAGACAAACTTTCGATTCTATATATTAATATGGATGCCGTCACGTATATATATTGCAATTTTCACAACAAATAACGCGTATGTTCGTTAGTACATGAAATACAGTATACGAATTAGTTTTTAATTTAAAATATGTAAGTATGTTTTTTCTAATTAACTGATGCATTACCATTTGTACGCATGTATAGTTCATTTATATTTTTTTTTTCAATTTAATTCCTTTAAAATAGTCAACAAATTAATAACTACTTCATATTTATAAATATTCACTTATTGTTATTGTCCTTTAACATTTTTTTTAAAATACAATTTTTTTTTATTGTATGTTAATAAATTTTTTTTAAATTACTAATGTGGTTATACTTTCCACGAATAGTAATAGTATTAAAATAAATGTTTACTCAATGGCAATTAAAGTGTAGAACAATCTTATAAAGGATATTAGAGAAGTGAGATCCCATACCTACATTTTTTAATATACCGATATTCAACCGTATTGATACCGTTTGGGCGTATTGCAGATTACAGATTAATAAAGTGCATCCGTGTTTTTTATCGTTTCCTGTCATATCTATATATAATAATAATAATAATAATCTCAGGACAATTCACACAGCGCCATCTAGAGCTAAGTTAAGGCAGCTAAAGCTTGTGTTATGGGTACTAGATAGCTGACACATATATACATAGATATTTTTTGTTTGTAAATACATACATATTATACATAGAAAACAGACAGACCGATACAAACAATCATACTCATGAATACAAATGTTTGTTCCGTGCGAGGAATCGAACCCGCGACCATCGGTCGTAAAGCGGTGTGCTAGACCGCTAGACCACCGAGGTCGTCAAATGTATATAATTATTACGTTCCTATATAAAAGACGTTAAAATTGACGGCATCGCTAGCCTAGCGGTTTAGCACACCGCTTTACTTCCGATAGCCGCGGGTTCGATTCGTCGCACAGTGCAGACATTTGTATTTATGACTATGGTTGTTTGTATCGGTCTGGGTGTTCTCTATATATATTATGTATGTATTTACAAAAAAAATATATCTAAGTATTTACATCAATTGTCTAATATCCATAACACAAGCTCTACTTACCGTGAGACTATATGGCGCTATGTTAACTGTCTAGGAAAAAATGTCAATGCAATGGTAAAGTATCTACAGATTTTTGGGAATTTTCAAATTTAGTATTAATATAAATCTCTTAATTATAATTATTATTATAATATTCGAGAATGCGTAAAATGTATAAATAATAATAAGCTTATGTTATGGATACTAGACAATTGATACTAATACATAGATATTTTTATTTTCATTCGTAAATACATACATAATATACATAGAAAACACCCAGAACAATACAAACAATCACAAATATAGGTAACTCTAAAATTAACAATTTATATTTTAAAAAAATACTTTACGAAATTATTATAGTATTGTTGTTCTTTTTACTCGTATATATCTATATAAGAAAGATACTATGTATTTACGTAATGACAATACGTTTGTTATCTTTTTTTATAGCTACAGTCTGATAACAATACAGCAGGTAGGTATTAATGTTCGTAGAGGAAATGCTTTTCTGTGACTTATTTCATAATAGTAGAATACAGTCCATATGTTATTGCTATTAAATCTTTTTGTAACATTATTATTTATTACTCGCGAATACTCACAAACGTTCACAAGTTTTTAGATTTTTTTGAGGTAAACAGATTAAGATTCATTCATCTGTATAGTTGTAAATGCTAACAAACAGACATAGCGAAAGGCTTTCGCATGTATATTAGTATAAATTCATGTACGGTTTAGATTATAAACAATTTATTTATTATTCGTAAAACTAATACGATTAAAAATAAAACATAAATTGTAAATAAATATTTGATTTTTAAAAATAGCAAACCACAGATAATATAATAACCTAACATGCTATGCTTTTATTAAATATAAAAAATGTATTTCACTGTTTTAGTTTTACAAAAAACAAGCTGCATCCTGCAATTTCTAGATAAAAGGTAGCCTTCGACCAAAGGTGTCCGTCCTCGGGATAAAATCTATCCTCATAACATTATTGAGATAAGTTCAGCCGTCTAGTTGTGAAACGATAACAAACGGACAGACAAACAGATAATAGATAGACGGGCAAACAGACACACTTTCGCAATAATAATATTAGTATAAACAATGTTAATAATATTTTTAAATAAATTGGAGATGGCAAAGGAAGATATTTTGAGAATGGGTGATTTTGCGGTACTTATTAAAACACCTGGCACAAGGGCAACAAGAATACCGCATACCTACAACAGTAATTATACTCGACGTCGAAACGATTAAAATGGCGCTTTGCATTAAATCATCAATTCTTTAAAATTAATTTTTATTAAAAGATTAAATTATGACGATTAAGTACGAGCTATGTATGTTAAGTAGGTCAATAATCAAGTTAATACTTAAACAATTATTTGGTTAATAAACATTACGCCGTATATGGATTTGTTTGATCATTTACCAACTATTTAGGCTACGTCAATATATTTATTAATTAAAATTAGACTTTAAACTCAAATGGGTAAAGATTTAATTAGATTGTGATTATCGTATGCCATCATTCTTCAATTTATGTTATATACCTATTTATATTCCAATAGGTAGCATCTTATTTATTTAATTCTCTATATAGATTATAAAAATAATACAGATAAAATAGACTCGTAATAAATATATCAATATAACTAAATATCTTTTACTTTTTAACCAATATATGTATTAAATGTGAAAACTATTTTTATTTGAGAAATATGTTATGATAATTAAATACAATCACTCACCTTTTTCGTCATAGTCGGTGATTCGAACTCGTCATCCTCGCGACTCGAGAGTGTGGAACACGACGAGCAAGCGGAGTCGGCAGACAAAGACCTCGACCTGAGCCAATTAACTTCCTCCTCAGTCGCGCCCACTGCGACCACCCCATCAGAATAGTCGCTGACTACCACGCTGGGAGTTCTGACGCATCTTCCTCTAGTCTCACAACCTTCGCTGCCCCTCCTTCCTAGCTCAACTATATGGGCTTCCACCAGTGTCCTCTCCTTTCTAGGGGACATGATATCTGGGGGTGGTGTGATATCCCTCGGGTGAGAATGCCTTCTCCTAGTTTCCAGTTCCACAGCGGAGTCGTCGCTCAAATCGCGGCTTCTTCGCCTGACCGCGGCTCTGTCGTCATCATCAGACGAGGTTATGTCCTCCTGCGGTGAACTGGCTCGCGGTGGACGTAAATACTGCATCGGTGCTGGTTCGAAACGCTTGAGTAGCTCGGAAACGCGAGGTTGCGCATGTCTGGGAACGCGGCCGTTCGGCGGCGCGCGCGCAGCCGCACTGATGCTGGGACGGCGTGGTGGTGACGTCGGTTCCCTTGCATGCGCAGGCGCAACTCCTGCGCCAAGTTTCAAGTAGAACAGGCTGTGACTTAGCGCCTTCTCGCGGAGTACTCGACGGAAATCCTCGGGCGGTGACTTCTCAAGACGTGGCATTTTACTGAAATTGTATTGAATAACAAATTTATTTGTAATTCTATTCTAATACATACTAGCGACCCGCCTTAAATGTAGAGATGAAATTATTTTCTCTCTATTAATATTTTAAGAATAGTCCATGTTATTCGTTGATAATGATTCTATAAATGTTATTTCTAAATCGGTGTAAAAACTAAAGAAGCAAATATTTCGTCTTTCTAATATTAGTTTAAATTATCTATTTATTTATAATTATTCATTAAATATTTATTGACATCGCCATAAATCGGACTTTAAACTACATATACACAAGATAAACTAATCAGGTATGAAGCCATGTAAAAATGAAAATGTAATAAAATTACTTAAAATACATAAAATTCAAGATTAAGCTATGGTAAAAGTCGTGTTGGAGAAAAAAAAATCTCAGATACTATATTTTGGCCATTGGATGACAGCTGATTGGAAGCAACATATACCTACTCGTAATATATACGCTAGTAATGTTGTGTCTTACCTATTATTTTTTGTTTTGCTTTAAATTTATTCTTGTAATAGTTCAATGACCATTTCAAATCGATCTGAAACAAACAAAGTGCACAAATTAATATAATATTCAATCTGATCTGATAAAGTTAAAGTTAAGTTGTTAGAAAGAAAAAAACAAAATTATTAAAATCCAGTTAGACCAATCACATTTAAAATTTGATTCAATGAGATTGTTTAACAACACCGTTGACAGTAAACTTAAAAAAAGTACTAACGATTTTGCGAATTCCGTAGAGACTTCTAAATAACTAACTTAAAGGTCTCACAGTAGTCTTTTAATAAGAAATCATGATTGTTTATGATTACAAGTAGGTTATTACCATTACATTAAATATATAAAATTTTTGGTAACATCCACATCTAAAACCACTTAACTGTTCCAAAGGTCTTTTTTTTTATCCAAGACAATTTGAAGAAAAAACTCTTAAGTAAGTTTTCTCGTTTAGAACTACCTCTAGAAACACAAATTTATAACTTATAATTTTTTCTGTAACTAGAATGGATAATAAACTGACAGAAGGTGGAAACCGAAACTTATATACTACTATTATGTTATCATTCGGTGCCCAATGGTGCGCGACAACTCTAAGGATTAATCATGCCTCTTATCCTGGAACCTGCTTGGCGGCTGAAAAAGCAACTTAGGGAAACTGAGAAAGCAAACGCAACTATACGATTTTTACAACTATTCTGTTCATATTACCAAAACTTGTCAGTGGTTTAAAGACGGAAAGGTACGAAATAGGAGATGAATGTGCGATGGATTAGTAAGTAAATAAAAAGAAATATTCGCCTTCAATTTATTTATAGATAAGTAAAGAACATAAAATTACATGAAAATAAAAGCCATTTTAAACGTTGTATAGAATACACCCATGACAATGAATCATACACGTGTTCTTTATACAAAAACTGTTCACTCCGACATTGTGGCGTAAACCTAATTGCTTAACAAAAGGATCTCTCTTGTCGATGTATAACTTTCGTGAACTTTTGGATAAGCCAATATGAATTAAATATATTTAGAAATAATTATATACGTTGTTATTATTATATGAAATAATCTAAATTAACATTATCATCATTGCTTTAACTTTATCCCATTATTTGTGGTCTACGCAGTATGTCATCCTCTTCCACTAATCCCTATTGGCCGTCATATCTGAGCATACTCTTCTTTCAACCAATCCATCCAGGATTGGGTGAAAGAAGAGTATGCTCGGTCTTTTTTCTTGGTAACCCTCTCCCTTTTCATCCATCCACATTCAAAGATTTTAACAAAATAGAAAATCATCCTTGTCGAAGTCAATTAAATACTCATTATTAAGGATAACTCAAATACTACTAGTGACATCGTGATCAAATTTATGTGTAACAATATGAGAAGTACCAGCTTTTATCAAGAGTCATTAAAAGCGGTTTTGCTAGAAAGAAGTTTAGAGGTATTTAGTATTAGTTAAGCATTTCAGCGCGGCTCATCGAGGTTACTTGTGACCCGAGAGCTGGTAGTTACTTTGGCCAAAGTTTAGGCATGGCCATTCAAAGAGGCAACGCTGCCAGTAACTTCGGTATGCTGTTTCGATGTGCCGCCTTGGATTATAATGATCGCTTTTTTTTTGTTGATTTATTTGATTTATTCAGCTTAATCTTACTAATATTATAAACACGAAAGTTTTTGAGAAGGGATGGATGTTTGTTTTTCACGCAAGTTGTAAAAATAAACGTTTAAAGACAACAAAAAAAATTCAGTCGCGGTCTGTACCTCCTTTATATTTGAAGTCGGATACAAATTGATTTAAATGCTATCTGTTTCTTCAGAAGAATTTTAACATGAGGGAATGCAAGAATAATGACAATTTAATATACTAATGCTATTTAGTATGTAAGCCACGTCGCCTATTACATATGATGGTTCATACAGGACACGTGCTTCGCAATTTGTATCTAATAGCAGACGGCAAGATGTATGCATCTGGTCTTCCCTTTAAGGATACGTGGATGTGGTATATCTTCATGGTCTAGTGGTTCTGGTTCTAGTTCTAGTGGTTGGCACACCACCTTCCTTCCGATGGTCGCAGGTTCGATTCCTCACACGATTCTAATATTTGTATTTATGAGTGTAATTCCGAAAAAAATATATTTAAGTTTTTCTATCAATTGTCTAGTACAATAACACAAGCACTGCTTAGCTTGGGACTAGATGGCGGGGTGTGAATTATCGAATATTATTATTATTATATACAATATTTACTCTATTATATGACATATAAAAACCTACTTATATAAAATGAAAAAAATAGTAATCTTTTAAAATAATTGCTTGTTACCAAAACAAAAGAATCCTTTACAATAATCAAAAATAAAAAATAATATTAAGGCATATCATATGGAAGGGAATGCAGATAATTTCGTAGCACTTTGAATACTATCTATGCAAGTCTGAGGTGACACCTACCTTATCTACGGCTATAAAATTGCACCTACCATAAAAACTGAAACTGCCGGATATGAATTTACAGTGTTTAACCTTCAGTATTTGACAGTGCAATTACCTAAGTATCAAGGCTTTCATTCGATGCGGTTCAATGTAATCTAAATTGGTCAATAGATTCAATGACGTGACAAACCACGGGTCAACATATAATAAAATGAAAAGACATTAGTACTGACATAGAATAACTTCTTCTCCATAAAAATAATTTCAAATCAAATCAAATCCATATATCATGTAGGTCTATTACAGACTCTTTGGATATGTCAAATCTACTGCAGTTCGGAGTGCGTTCGAGCCAATAGGAAATGACAGAATCTTAGCTGTTGCTTTTTTAAATCGATTTTTAGAAAATTTTCTAAGTATAGACAAGTGTAATGATTAATATTTCTTTTAAATTAAAATAAAACATTACTATACTATACCAAATATATACATACATATATATAGTATAAATAAACTACTACTATAAATGAACGAATAAATATAAACCTAAATAATATTTTTTCTTTCATTTTCATTCTGTCCCTGTTAAATGAAATTTATAAATATAATTTATAATTCGAGTACAATGATTGCTGTTACCTCAGTGAAATTATTAATGACAATGAAACAATGGAAGTGACGCCGATGATACCAGTATTAAACATGAAACTGCCGCATCCAAAAAAGGACAATTCACACGGCGTCGTGCGTGGTATTCGACTGCCGATGGTGACACGTACCTACTCTGATGACGTCAAAGCCAGCCTTGCAGAGTAAGGGCAATAGAGCCCGCACTAAAATAGCTTAATTTAGACAATTCCACTACGAATTGTCTCTGTTACCGGCATGGTACGTGTATCTATTAGTGGATAAAGCGTTTCCGCTTAAAAAAATTGACGTCAATTTGTTAGAGTGGTATGACATGACATATTAATCTGTACTAATATTATAAAACTGAAAAGCTTGTTTGTTTGGTTGAACGTGCTAGTCTCAGGAACTACTGGTTCGAATTGAAAACTTCTTTTAGTGATGGATAGCAGATTTATAGACTATATAACTTCCTGCTGCGATCAATTGAAGTGGAACAATAATAAAATGCTGCAGAAACTGGATCTCTTATGACTCTTTCTCAGTGCCAAGCAAACTTATTCGGATCAGTAAATCTATATTATTAAAAGCCCCCCTTACTTCCGATGGTCGCAGTTTAAATTTCTCGTATAGTACAAATATTTGTATTTGTGACTATGATATATCTATACTTGTATTGATTTGGATGTCTCCTATGTATACTATGTTTGCATTTAGATAAAAGAATGTATTTAGTACTCAAACACAAGCTCTCCTTAACTGGGGAGTAGATGGTGCTGCGTGAACAATCATAATATATTATTAAATTAAAATTAACATTGAGGGTGACGCAGCTGTTATCAAGTCACAATGCGAGTTTCCACACGTTTGAGACTCGGGTCCCACCAACACGCTGCCCACCTTAATTGGTAAACTGATATGTACACCAATTCCAAAGAAATTCTTTATTTATAATTAGAAAATATATGTATTTGTACTATCTGCCTATATATAAAGCTTCTACACATAAAAATGTAAGCCTACTATGATACAATCAGTAAAACTCTTGAAAAGGCATCAAACAGACATGTAGATATATACACACATTGATAAATGCTAGAACATTTATAATATTATTATGCATTATAAACATACATATCTCCTTATACATACATACGTAAAATTTTAATTGCCTCTTACGGTAATTTTCTCTGAAACGTTCACGCTCCACTGTGTTGTGAGGAGGTGATGACCTGAATAGTGTTGTAGATAAGGAATAAATAACAGATAACGTCAGCCGTGACGGTACGGATCACGACGAGAGCCAACTATGTGCAACTACATCCTGGCTTATACTATATATTACTAGTGAATGTGAGTGAGTGTACTTATATTACTAGTGAATGTGTTACACTATCACACCTCAACTACTTAACCAATCAATGAAATTTGGCATATATATATATATATACGCAAATTCCATAATTTGGCAAGTCTATTGTGGTAGTATTCATATTCTAGTAGATCCTAAATGTAGCGACCGATCAAAAAATGTACTTTTTAAAAATCTTTATGTTTAACTTCCTAAATGACAGAATGCTTAGATTATTTTTTTGTATGTAGCTGGAATGTCTACAAGCAAATGGGGATGGTTATAAAGGCAGGGGAAGGCTGAAAAAGGATGGAATAATGTTGTGAAGATGATATCATCTTCACAACATTTTTCGTTGCCATATGGCAACAAAGGAAAAGATACAAGAACAAATTACGATGACCCTAAATGAATATGAGAAGGAAAAAGCAGTTATAGAATGGGTAACAGGCTGACTGCCCACCTGATTGAAAAAGGTAACTGTCGTCGGCTATAAGCGGATATCACAGACAATGAATGTGACGCACAGAAGACCTGGCATGCGTTGCCATTCCTAAAAAAATGAGAAAGCTATGATATCTCAATCTCCCTCCACTGTAATTACACTACCATATTCT